AAAATAAATAATCAGAGATCCAGACGTCGCAGACGTCAGGTGGGGGGGGTGAGCAAACATGTATGCATGTATGCAGCTCATACAGACAGCAATCAACGTACAAATTACAGTAAAGATAGATTGGAAAGACATCAATATCATTTTATCTCGAACAATGCAGTCGTAGATTCACCAGTATAGAAGATCAATATTCTGTGAAAGCTAAGTCTGGGTGCTTGGGGTGGTTCTGACTGATGGAATCTTCACATTATCCGACCATACACCGGCATGCAAATGCCCAATTTTATACCGTCGTGTTCCTTTTCGCAAGGTACACACATTGTGACTTGTAATAGCATATTTTTGAAATGAGAGAGAGCCCCTCACCAGACGTCTGCTGTCGTTTCAAGCGTCACCTGTGAAAGGCAACCTGGTGCTATTGGGCATCCTGACTGCTGGGAAATACCAAAAAGGGGAGAGAAAGTGTATTCGAAAAACAAAGAGAAGAGATAGTTTATCTGGAAACGACATTGTGGTTCCAAACTATTAACTAAATTGTGTGTAACACTTTCAAGGTTTGCCTTCTTTAGTGAAGGAGACATCATCATAATGGCTTGTAGATCACCGGTCCTTAATCATCGGTCTGCGGACCGGTACCAGGCCCAACAGAGACAGGAAAAAAAAAAAAAAGGTTTATTTTCTTTGTTGCGGAGCATCAGCCAGCCTATCATATTAACGATTATCTTCCGGAGGTAACGTAAGTAGGGCTGTTATGGTGTAAGGCTTATTGTTTACATTGTAAGGCTTATTCATTATCCGAGAGGGGTCCATTTTTTTTGTTGTTCACTGTGTTATTTTGTATTGTTCTACAGTTGTTGTACCGTTGAATAAAATTACTGTAGAATTGTTTGTTGTCAGTACCAATGCAAAACAAAAAAACAAACAATTTTTCTAGCGCCCTCCTAGTCAGCGAATGGTTGCCAGTCTGCCAACAGCACGTACTCGTCCCAACCGGTCCTTGACGCAAAAATGGTTAGATATGATCAATTGTGTGAACAAAATGTCACGATAATATGGGGATCATGAGTTACTTTGTGATTCCCAGCATGAGATTCGGGAATGAAAGAATGGAAGCCGAGCACGCAAGGAAAAGTGAAATGAATGCACTTCGAAATCAACTGTGAACGGTTGATGACACTTGGCGGGAAGACAAAGGCTGCGCAACTTGAGTCATCAATGTTGTTTATTGTTTAATTTGCTGCGGTGGGGAGGCGGCAGCACTGTTTCACACACACACACACACACACACACACTTTCAAATTGTTTGAAACTTTCCACGCTGTGTCTTTTTTTTTTTTTTGTTTTGTTTGCTGTTTAGTGCTTTGACAGGTACCAAAGCAGTTGCTAGTCGAGACGATTTTGGCAGAACAAGCAGCACTTTACACATCACGGGAGAGGAGATAAAGTAGGTGAAGTGGCGTGAAAAGAATAACGGGATACGAATAAGTGAGGAAAAATGAGCACAGGAGCGAGTACATATTAGAGTAGAATAAGAAGGTATGCTAACAAGCAAAAGGGATGAATGCATCTGCCGAAAAGCAGCGGATGGATGTGACTTGGTTGTACTCATAGGTCTCGTGGATCCCGTGACAGAATCATGAATCAATATGGAAATGAAGCGACTGTAGACTGCACGGATTTATCAAGATATTTCTCACCTGCAAAAATCAATGAGGCGCGGCAACGACGTCATGCTAACAGGAGCTACAGTTGCTTCCGCGTTTGGAATGCCTTCTGTTTTCAAGCGGACAAGATGACATACAATTATGCGCATCAAATTACAACTCCAGCTGAAGGGGTTTGACAAAGATAGAAGCGTTAAATTGCAATTTCCGTGTCACGTTGGTGTCAAATGCGCAATCTGGATTGAAAATGGAGCTTCTCAGCCTGTGTACACGTACATGTGGGTTGTATGGTAGAGGGTTTGCCTAAGAATGTCTACAAAGTCATTCATAAATATAAAATGTGATTTTTTTTTGATCAAATTTGAAATATGTCATGGCACCCGAAAAATGTGCCTCAAATTACAACTTTTTTCCGATGAGATTTGACATTAGCTAGCCAAATCATTTTGGTTATTTGGATTTACATCATACAATTTCTGAGTTTTCAGTGCGTGTCTTGTATTGAGTGTGCTTTATTGTTCGTGTACTGTATGTAGCAAGTATATTGTGTTTGGAGTGGCAGCAGGGCATTTGTTGTGTTCAAAGAACGATCTTATTGTTCAATTACATTTTATGATTCATATCGCTGATTAGAAACACAGTTGTACTTCTCAAGTTGGCAAATTGGAAATTGAACTACGTTACCTTGCCACAAATCTGATGGCGTGTATGAATTCTCATGTGATTTTATTGTTTTAGTCCTTCATATTAACTACAGGCATGCATATGTGTAATAATTCAATCATGGGTTGATTGATTATAAGATTTGAGATTTTTTTTTTGGGGGGGGGGTAGGGGGTAGAATTTACTTTGATTGATTCATTCACTCTCAGCCCTTTTCAAAGCAGCAATCCCCACAAACTGTTTTCGAAAAGTTTGACTGATCTTTCAGGACCCACCGATCTTATGTTCTGCGACAAGACCAGGACACAACCTACCAAAAGAAACAAACATATCAAGGGCGATTTCCAAAAATAGAAGTCTTCTAAAAATTAAATACAGACAAAAACCCAAAACAGAACAATATATTATACTGAAAACACTAACAGTAAAAAAAAAATAAAATAAATAAAGCTCAGACAGAAGAAATGGATTGTGACCCTTTCAAAAAATCTCCATAACCTGTGACAGACTCACATTTTGTGAAATGTCACTCACGTGCGGACCATCAGCCCAATGTAAAGTCAACATCTGCAAAAGAGTACCGACATAGTGTGTCATTAAAAATACATGCTGAAGAAGTTGCAGCACACACAAAAAGACGCCAATAAACACCCCCCACCCCTCCCTCCCTCCCAGTCCCTTGGCAGGGATAATTACCGGTCTACATACACTCCCATCATGTGTATGCGGCAACCATAAACAATGCTTCATCAATACCAACCCAGCGCAATAAAGTAGACGTGTGCCAGCACAGACGGCGACTGCACTCGTGGAATTGGGGGCAGCGGGAAGAGGATCACAGCATGTGAGGGGAGGGGAGGAGGAGGCGGGGGGGCACAACACGGGGGAGGTTCGGGCGGGGGGGGCGGTGGAAAACCTGCCAATACCGATAAATATTTCATCCTACAACACACACACAGTCACTGAGCCTGGTGCCCACCGGGGGGAAGGAGGGAGGCAAATATAGCAAGTCAAGAGAGTGAGGGAAAGAGGAAAAGGAGAAAGAGGGGACAGCTGAGACATAGCAAAGCCCGGAAGGTGAAGGTGTCCTCAACATTTATGACCGTGATGCTAAGCAGAGCTGACGGCCTTCACGCACACACATACAGATGAGGGTGTCTCACACACACACACACACACGCTTCTCTTTTATCCTAGACTCTCTCGACCCGGGCGAAGTTCGTCTCCTCCGGCTTGACACCTGGACTAGCAGGAGCGCTGGTGTGAAAAAAGAAGTCACAGACAGAGAACACCGCACGGAAGACGACGCTTGAGCGCGCGAGCGCGGACGAATTGACTCAAAGCGAGCAGAAATGACGGAAACAAGACGCGAACGGCAGATTTTTGTCACAGGGTGGAATACTACTTCCTTGTAAATCTCGCTACAATCCGGACTATCCATCATGGTCAGAAGCGTCCTAATTGGAGGCACGGAAAGCAGTGGAAAATGGAACTATGTCACCTTTGGGAGTTTTGGGGCAATATTTCCTGTTTTACTGTCCCCATTTTATTCTGTGTAGAGAATAGAAGGGTTTCCACAGAGTAGATTGCAGGGTGCCGTGTACAATTACAAGGTCCTCTGATGAGCTTGTTGAGGCACTCACATAAAACATGAGCGAACTCGTGATCTTGACATTCTTTACAAATAGAGCACCGCATCAAGGAAAAGCTCGAATAAACGGGTGCTTCGAATATTGTGACCCTCTCTGCTCGCTAAATCCTGCAGACATCTGAAATTTGTCGTACACGTACGTAAGAAAATAAGCACCTTTGTGCCGATTCTGAAACGTCACACACAACTGACCGAACGAACAGATGAGTGATGGGTTGTGTAAAATAGGGGATGGATTCATCTTTTCGACTGTGTCAATCCAAAGAGAGAATTCGAGACTTTTTAGACCGGATCTCATTAAACCAGTGTTTCCCAGCCATTATTTAGCCGAGGCACCCATTTTACACCCGAAAAATCTCACAGCATACCACCAAACAAAAATACCGGAAATAAAGGATCATCTCATCTGGATTTACACCCAAATTGACTTTGTGGGAAATCTGACCCGATGCAATTGAATACAGAGCCGCTAATGATGTCTCATAGCGCATTATGGGTGCCGCTAGTTGGGAGTCACCGCATTCAAGTGTGCAGGTGTACGGATAGAATGATTTGTCTGGCGCGTGTCCAGCGTGTGCGTGCACGTAAGAAAAGCGACGTAAATGAGACAATGTTTACATAGCTTCTCTCGACCAAGTGTGAGACAAAGCCTGTTGTGTATGCCTCTCTGGGTTTACTGAGTATTCTTAGATTTTTCACATTCTGTTCCAGCCTATACACCAGATGGGCAACAACAAAGAGAGGGAACGGCTCGAGAGGAAAAAAAAAATGCTTGGCTTTGTTGTGCGTGTGTGTTGCAGTGTAGTGTTTTTTTTTTTTTTTTTGTCAGCTCGGCAATTGCTCTTTTTCTTTGTATGCCTCCTCATCCGCTTCATCATCCTTTGTAATGTTCCGACATGATGAAACGGCAAAGAGCCACATTGTGACCCCAACGCGAGACGATGAGCTGATCATCCGTGCGGGGGGGGTTGTCTTACCCTCATCAACTCCTCACCGCTGTGCTCCTCTCTGACCACTTCCAGGATTGCGACGAGACAGAGGTGGACAAGAACAAGTGCTGCACCTTGTGCAACATGTTCTTCACCTCCGCCATCGTGGCTCAGTCCCACTACCAGGGAAAAACCCACGCCAAGAGAGTCCGCCTGGTGCTAGGTGAGACTCCCAGCAGCCCCGCAGCCTTGACCACGCAGCCTACCAATGCAGGTATTCTACAAAGTCCAGCTGATCTCTACAAAATGATGACAGTTAATAACAGCTAGGGCGGGGCCACCCTCACAAAAACCACAAAAAAAAAAAAAGATGCCAGCCTTCACTGTCTGCTTGGAACCATGTTTGCATTAAAGAGTCCCTGACACTCTCTGGTGAAAATTTTGAAATGATGAAGAGTTACAGAAACTTTGACTTCCGCCTGACACTGATTCAAATCATGTCGTTTTGGTGGTTCTGTCGCATTAATAATGCCGAGCACAGCTTTCGTGACCATGACGACCGGTGGACAGCTCAGGCATGTAAGCAACTACTCAGTCTTGCCAGCTTGATGACTTTGTTTCAAAATCCAGCAACTGTTTCAAAACCTTTGCAAATTTTTCAAATCAGACCTTCCACACTTTTCAAAATATGCGTGACACTATAATCCAAGAACAGCGTTCTGAAATTGAAGTTTGTGCATATCTGAGCAATTGGTGAAGCATACGTTCATATTTTGACTTCAGGAAAAGTAAACTCATCTCAGATTTTTCACATATGGATACTTTCCATGGTTACAAAAGGAAATAAATGAGACATTTAATGACAAATTTAATGGGTAATTTAATGATGGAAAAAAAACAAAAGCCTTTCTTGGTTAGTTGTGTAATTTTATTGAATATTTTGCAGTTTAACTAAGTAAAGATAAATCATTAGATCCAAAAAAAGAAAAAAAAAACGAGTCTGGTTTTTAGAAAGCGGACAAACTTAATGACTATTCACAAATGGAATTATTTGGTATGCACGTCTGCTTTTGACATGAACAAGCACACAGTGCACATGCTGTGTATTTTCATGTATCAGTTGAATGCAACCCATTTGAGGTGAGAGCAGGTCTTTAAAAAGAAATATTTAGTCAGCCTTCAAGTCAAAACGTCTCATCTGCTTCAGAGGAAAAAGAACGCGTTTGCAAACATGCCAGAGGCCCAAGAGGAAGACTTGGAAGGTGAAGTTTAATGAAGATGAATTAATGTTTGTTCAAACTCGTGACTTTTTTTCCTCCTTTTAAATTAGGGTGTCTTGACTCTGGCGAGTCGTGCCCGGGGAGGCTTTACATAATGTGACTCTAATTGGATTTATTGTCACAATTCACAGAACTATGAATTTGCACATTTCCAAAAAAAAAAAAAAAAAAAGAGTATTATAATAGAGCTCCAAAGCGACTTTTTTTTTAAACTTTGCCCTACTTTGGAGATGTGCTACTCGCGTACAATTTCCTCTTGGGTAAGGAACTGTCTAAGCAGAGCAAACAGTTGGAGGAGAGCATCAGAAGAAGGCATCCTGGGAGGGAAGAGAAGCTTTTCATCTGCGATTCAAGTCCAAAATAGCCTTCACTCCGTGATGCGCAATCAATCCGACGAGACATATGAGCACACATACGTGCTTTCAGCACGTTGAAATCTGACAATCAATGAGGTGTCCGCTCAAACAACACCGCTGTGGGAAATCAAACCTTCAACTTCAGATTGCAGGTGCATCGACGATGTTAAGTGAAAAATAACTAATAGAAGTGGATATTCTTGAAACGGTCACATCCCTCCCAAGGTTGGGTAACGATAGCGTGCGGTGTACAGCCAAACAACATTGGTAGCAGTTTGCATGAAATATGGTTTAAATATGTTGCGATGTTCATAGGCGTATAAGGAAAAAAAAAACAGCCATTGAAATAATATTGATGTGAATTGCAGGAAAGAGTGAGTGTAGGCCAACGAAACAATATTTTAATATCAAATATTTATATTATTATTGTTGACGTCCGTCCAGCTTTAATATTTTTTTTTTCCCCTGCATTTTAGGCCTGTGTACCTACCTGTACATTCAGGTTGTTTCTTGTGCACAGTAAACAAGAGATATCAGAGCAGTCACAAGAAAAGACGGTAACGGTATCAAGATATTGATTTGTAAGTCTGGGAATGGGGAATTGATATCTGTGGTGTAAACACAGCTTCCAGAAAGACATAGAAGAGAAGCTTTTTTTCAAGTGTACCTGTTCTTTATTCTTCTTCTTCACAGTTCGCACACGGCCCCGCCCCGCCCCGGCCCTCGACAGCTCTAAAGCTCTCACTCTTCCTCATGTGCCGCACTCTGTGAAAATCTCTTACTTCTGCTCCAGTGCGCAGAGATCACAGTCACGAGAAAAAGACAGGGTGGGAAAACATGAGAAGAGGGTGTAGGGGGAGAGATACATCCAAGAATCTTTCCCTTTTGCATCAGAGCACATGCTGGCCACTACCAAATTGTGAGGTGCAATGATTATAGCTTTTTATTTATTTTTTTTTTGTCTGAGTAAAATTAAATACCAGTAAAAGGGCAGAAGGATTTAGATTTTAATTGTGATTTATGGGGTGCCAAAAGAAGTAAAGGGAACATGAGTCGGTGTGGTTAGTGGAACGAGCGGCCAAAGATATAATAACAATCAGCTTGCCGGGGTTTCTATTAGCAAACTCGCACTAAAATAGACGACACTCGAAAAGCACTCAATGGAGCTCAGACCTCCGCCAAGACGGAATGACTGCGGTGTGCATATCAACACAAAGCATTCCTGGCACGGAACAGTTGAAAATAAATCGTTGGAGTTCACATTGACACAAATATAAAAGTGGATTCATTAAGGAAACTGATACGATGGCACTCTGCCAAGTCTCCAGCGAGTTTATGATATCAGCAAACACTATTAACACCAAAAGCGACACCAAAAGCGGAGCGACTTCAGGGTGGAGTCAAATAGCCACAGAGGTCCTCGGTTTATGATGTCCCAACTTAGTCTGTTTCAAATTTGGGTTACTTTGCCACTGGAGGAAAGGAATTCCATCGCAAAGTGAGGACCGGATGTATATGTGATCTTCTGACGACAACAAAGTCTTTTAAAAGCGTTGCTGAAGCTTTGAGAATATCCTTTGACAATAATGAGCACTCATGGGATTGACCAATCAAAGGGAAAGTCCAAGGAACTGTGATGCAAGGAAAAATTGGAGATTTGCTTATATCGGGCAGTCATAGTCAAGCAGGATGGATGGACCGACGGCGGGGGTGGGTGGGCGTTAGGACGCCCGGTTGTACTATGTACTATTTTTGTCACATCAAAAAAAGGAGAGCAATGGTTACCCAGCGTCACGTTTTGAGAAAAGTGACCAAAGCACGGCCGCCGTAGCAAAGCCCTCAACAGGCCATGCGCACGGCTCGCGAGCCAAACCTCGTCACCTCTCAACGTCATCTGGCGGCGCTTGTGTATTTGCTTCGAGGCGTCACACGGTAAAAATTCAGTTCATCGTTCCATCTTGGGGCGAATGGCCGTGCAGTAACACCGAAATAAAAACATTTGAAATTAACTCCAATATCTCAAGTATAATATTGATGGACAAAGACAACATATGGACACGTAAAATGTGGTTTCAGTTCCACCTCCCCACTCAGAACTCACTTTTAAACTACGAATATGCTGTAAGCTAGCGAATAGTCCAGCATTAGCTAAAGAGTGTTCCAACTATGATGCTAACCGATTTTTTTTTTTTTTAAAAGACCCCCAAACAGCACCTTTGCATAGCTCCTCATCAAATTGAAATCAATCAAATTTGTCCCTGCAACACGCAGCTCCATCACCGTTCAATGAAGTTCGTGTCAATAAACGTACCCGCAGCAAGTCAAGCTTTACTGCCAGCTCTTCATTTGTAAACAGTCCTTGTGAAAGAGGTGCCGTGACTCATGTGTGAGTGGTATTTTTGTTTGTGTGAACGCGTGGTATTGTTGCGCTGAAGTCATCGGCGGCACAACTCGAGGTACGCCGTCACATTGCGGATGGCGGATCGCCACATTTGGACACGCCATCTGCCTGCCGTTCTCAGCGGCCATCACGCAATTTGGCTCTGGACCTCACACTCCCACTTCACATGTGTCCAAATATACATTGACTGAACCTCACATGCAGCCAAGACTATTCTCCACAATGCTTCACACACACACACACACACACACACACACACACACACACACACACACACACACACACACACACACACACACACAACCTGGATTTACACACAACATATACACGCACGCAGCAAAAGCCATGAGCCACAATAGGCATGTCATTGCTGGTGGCTATTAATGGACAATCACCATGGTAACCAGTGTCATGTCATGAGCAGTGGGTCACCTGGGGGGGGTCTAGCTTCATTACCTCACTCAGAAGGGGGATGAAAAGAGCAGAAAGACACAGGGGAGGAAGGAATAAAAGATGGAATGAAAAAGATTCTGATGTACAAGTTCAAGAGTAAAGAGAGAGTTTCTTCAAGGATGGTCGCTGGAGGGCCAACGACCTTCTCGTGACCCTTATCTGTGTTTCACACATGTGGCTCACTACGATCGACTGCTCTTTGCCGACATCTTTCAAATTAGCCTGTGTGGGTTAACATGTCTCGGAATGATTGAGTATGAGCTTGGCTGGGTGGCTGTTTTTTTTTGGGGGAGGAGGTTGTTTCTGTATTTGTGCCATGGATCCTTGAAACCATATAAGTTTGGCGAGAAGAAAAGACAGAAAAGCTACAATATTTCAAAGTTTGACCTTGAATCGCAATGAAAGTATGAACAAGATTCCAAACGGTGACCAAAAATGGTGCAAGACAAGAAGAAGTGTGTGGGCATCAGCTGGTCTCCCTCACCTATCAATTTATAAACCATAAATAATTGAACCCTTTCAGGCACAGCGGTGACTACAGTGGACAGCTTATCATGTTATCGGGTTACTGGGTGCATGAAAGGGTTAATGTCATGGTGCCTAAGGTCAAAACCGTTCCCTTTCTTTCAGCTTCACAGCTGTCTATGTGGACCTCGAACTATATCTCCAGCAGTCTCGTAGTCTTCACAGCCAAAGCTCAAATCCGTAAATAAGTACAAACATTCAGCACGATTGTCCTTTTCGCTTTAATGCTCGCTATATGATATGAACACTAACCACCAGACTAATTTGTCCGAAATGGTTCCCATTCTTGATACCCCCTGAGCCACACCCACGCAGGAGGGCAGCTCGTCACTCGTCGATGTGACACTCGGCGATCTCCTCTGATTTCCAACACGATAAGCGTGCCAGGGTACAGATAGCGATAGCAAGATGCCGAGCCAGGAAAAGCCATGTCACAGCGACACAAGTCACCTATCTAATTATTTGTCCCGAAGAGGCCTGATCGAACACCATTTTTGTTCTTTTCACGTAATTCCGACAAATAATTGCCAGGGTGCCTCATCATAAGTGTTCCTTTTCAGCCCTCTTTGAGTCAGTGGCCCCTTTCACCGTGCCTGCCAGAAGGTCGATGTGACACTCGACGATCTCCTCTGATTTCCAACACGATAAGCGTGCCAGGGTACAGATAGCGATAGCAAGATGCCGAGCCAGGAAAAGCCATGTCACAGCGACACAAGTCACCTATCTAATTATTTGTCCCGAAGAGGCCTGATCGAACACCATTTTTGTTCTTTTCACGTAATTCCGACAAATAATTGCCAGGGTGCCTCATCATAAGTGTTCCTTTTCAGCCCTCTTTGAGTCAGTGGCCCCTTTCACCGTGCCTGCCAGAAGGCTCCTGTATCAATGGCTCTGACGCAGAACGGAATTGTCACCGTCTCACAAGTATTTTATCACACCAGACGCTCGCACAGACAAAAATCACACCTGATCTAATCATCCGATTGCTTGATGTCACGATGGTAGAGTGCACAACGTTACAGCAATCAGTTCTGATTGGATCACTGCTCTCAGCGCACCTTTGATGAGATCACGACGTATGCCACATTGATTTGGAAACACACGTCTGCCTCGTAGTTATGAGGTTTGGGGACTCTAATTTGTCCTTAGGTGTGAATGTGAGTGTGAATGTATTTTTTTTTTTTGTCTATTGCGGCAACGTACAAGTCTGCATCTGTTGAAAAAAATGCATGATTAATCGACAGTTTATCGTCCATCCCATACAGGGACACTAAAAACAGTGCAGTTAGATAAATCCTCTTCGGACGGCATCAAATAAACTGTGCCATGCCATAATTTTTGTATTTGTATTGAAGGTTGCCGTATTCTATCATGACGCCCGCAGATTCCTCCCCTTCAACCCCGCTGCCTTCAGACCCCATGGCTTGCCCCCCTCCCCCATCCGCGCCGGTGGTCAGCGGCAACGGCGGAAAAGAAGCCGGCAAGTACTGCTGCTTGTGCGGAGCCTGGTTTAACAACCCGCTAATGGCCCAGCAACACTACGAGGGCAAGAAGCATCGCAGGAACGCCGCCAGGGCACGCCTGGTGGAGCAGCTAGCGGGGAGCCTGGATGCCACGGAGAGCACAGGTCAGTCCTCGTAATCCCTCCTAAAAAGACCCCCCCACCGCGGATGCAGGTGACAAGTGAAAAGGCAGCGGGGGTGTTACTGCTTTTTAAAGGGAAACACAATCGGGGGAGATCATTTTTAACATCTGCGGTATTTTGTTCTGTGGGACTTTTTCTACCGACGTCACTCCGGTTGGATATAGTCACGCTCCAAGCGTGCTACTAAAAATGGGATTACCTCATGATAATTACCTTTAAATATCGACAGAGTTTTGAAATGCTTTCCAATTCTTTTCACACAAAAGCCTTTGGAGGGGTGTTGAGGATAAAGCCTGCATTAGAATCTTAGTGAGCAGGCTTTAAGGTTGCATGATTTTAATTTGAAGTTGAGGAAATGCAGTTAGGGGAGCTTTGGACTGACTCGAGGGTCATCAGCTTCGGTTTCCTCTTGACGCATTCATTCTGGCTCCAGCTAAATAGAATTCAAAACCCCTGGATTACTGTTGTAAAACATGTCATCCATCACACCAAGCAAATATTTCATTTCATTCTCCCGAACGAACTCCGTTTAACTAAAATATAAGCAAGTTTCAGTCATACAAGTAGTCTCTCTCTCTCTCTCTCTCTCTCTCTCTCTCTCTCTCTCTCTCTCTCTCTCTCTCTCTCTATATATATATATATATATATATTGAAGTGAGAGCCTGCTGTGGCAAAATGGAATTTCCAGCCCAAGAAGAAAAAAAAAATCCTCTCACTCGGTATGATTACCGCCGGGACGGCCAGGTAAACCTGTCCTTCTTCTGAGCCCCCCCCCCCCCCATCACAGAAATTTGTAGCATTTGTAATATAATTACAGACATCTACGTCTAACGTAATTGCCTATCCTCTTTCCACTTTAACAGCAGGGGCTGAAAATATGATGCATATGCCCCCCCATCCCCCTTTTACTGGTGCTCCCTCACTTAGCAAAGCTGCACATTAAGAAATAGAAGACAGTTTTTTTTTTTTTTTCCATTTGAGGTGACGAATGCATTTCACTCAGAGCACACATCTGTTGCTGCAAACAGCTCTGCCTCCTCCTCAAGCAGGACAACTCGTAATTAGCTGACAACAAGCTCTAACTAGCATTCTGGAGTAGTAAACTTAAGTCTGTGCAACACTCATCTTCAGTGACAAAATTTAAATCTGAACCTGAATGAAGACATTCAATGCTTCATTATGTAAATAAATAATAGGACACATATTGGGCAATAAAACACACCTGTTGGTAACATGTTCCAATACTTTTTCTCATATGTAAAAAGTGATTTTTTTTTCTTTATTTTTTTTTATGTACCAGTACATGTACAATAAAATGTTGCACATTACAGAATATTTTAGGACTACTATTTAGTCCAGATAGTCCCATTCTTTTCTGGTTGTCCAGTGGTGAAACATCTGAAGTCATCGTGCTGAAGTAGGCAGCCCAACATGCACGTGAGCACTCCATGACACATCGATGCGCGCGCGTGCACGCCGGCGCACGCACACACTAACACACACACGCACACTCCAATGCTCAGTCCGTCGAAACTGTGGCGCGAGCTGTGTGCTCCAGGTGCCATGACAAAAGCAATCATCTCAAGGAACCAATCATATTAAAAGCATGAGTCATGTTGCCGCCTACACTGGCTCAGAGGCTTTAAGTTGTGTCATGTTGGATATCGTTCTCCATCCACTTGCTGTGACCCAGATCCCACAACGGCCACTGCCTTTTTAGGCAACGTTTCAATCCCAATTCACAGTGCAACGAGCGCTTGGAAACGGTCCGGCGTTCCCGCTTTTGTGTAATTTACATCCGCAGGTTTTCATTAACTTAAAGATGCCGCGGAATCGATTTGCCGCCTCCCCTTTTCAAGGGCAGGCGAGCCGATCTGAGAAGTGTGCCCCCCCCGGCGCTGATGCGATTCGTTACACGTGCCATCAATCACGCCCGGGCTCAGCCGTCTTTCAACCACGCCGCTATTGTCGGGGATTGTTTGTCCTCCCGTGTGACACGTTTCCACTGGCAGAGGATTCTCGCCTCCGAATGGCTTTTAACGCCTCTCAGGTGCAAGGTGCTGGAAATGTTTGGGAATGTTAATTAGTCCGTGAGGTAGGTATGCCTCATGGTCGGTGCCAGGGTTCGTTTATGTGACAATAACTGAGTGCGATGATGTCAGACAGGAAGGCTTGCTTGGTGGAATTGGTGGCAAAAGTTAGAGGATGTGAGCGCAGGGAAGAAGGAGGACCATGTAAAAATTTAGGATGCACCCAAAGGATTTATTACAAAGAGCTTGTCGCGGACTACACCAGGATGTTTTGTTTTTTCTACCAGGCCAATGTCTCAGTTGGTTCTGCGCGGTCCTGCGAATGTTTTTATTTTCAACCCAGCGTAGCTTCGGCTTTCATTTCATTTACATGCGCTATCGCTTCATGGCACAACACTGTGACTTCCGCTTTCCAGACTTTGAGGATTATTTTGAGTCTTTCCGTTTTCTGATCTTGCAAACTGACCCGTTGACAGGTGGGCTGGAAAACATTCCATTGTGTTGCGGACCCAGATCATATTTTAAAATCTTTTATTGACATTATAAGAACTATTTGTGTGAACTTGAAGCAGACATAATCGAGAAGATTTTGTGCTACTCCATTGTAATTTAACGGATGTTTGTGCATTACCAAATCATCCAGACAAGTCATTCTATTTATGGAACGGTTTCTGCGACGGTTTCGCTCAGTCTTCTGTTGATGTGTTTGCAATCTGTGTTTAGATGCGTGTGTGGACCACAAGGGGCCCAAAATCACATCATGTCTCATCTGTCATCCTCATTAAATACCCGTAAGGCGCAGGTGACTTATTTACACACCGTTGTTGTTGTTGTTGTTGTTGTATTGATGATACTGACCTTTGCTTGTCCTTTCATATTTTAAAGCCTCACGGCACACATGCATTTGCATAGTTCCTCTATTTTTTTCTCATCAAATTGACAAGTTACAGCAGAGAATGGGGGCGATTGAGGTGCTAGACTGAAACCCTGGGAGATGGATTGCGAGGGGAGGGAAGGGCGGGGCGGAGGGGTAGCTGGCGGCTGGGCAAGGAGCCCGGCGGACTCGGATGTGTCTTTACATAAATCACGACTCGGGTAGAAACCCCCTCGGGACAGAGTCGGACGATTGTCTCTTCTCTCCGGAGACGGGGCGGTGAGTTAGGAGCGGTGAGATAAGCGTCTTGCGCTGAAGCATGAGCGCCTGAGCGCGCCAGGACCTCAGAGAGGGCCAAGGAGCAAAGCAGAGAAAATGGCGTGTAATTGATGAGCGCGTCTGAGTCAGGAGACACCGCTGACCTCCTCTCCCTCAAAACGACGCTCGTGTGACAACGTGGCACGACGTGCAGGTGTATTTTCAAACTAATGAATGGCTTTATTTTATCATAGAATTGTGACATCTGTATTTCACTTGTTTCAACAACCAGCATTCAACTCAACTCAATACAAAAAGCTCCGATTCACAATTAGCTTCCCTTCATCATCAAAATCGTGTTTCTGGGTGACTATTTAGCACTTGGTTTGTAAAACTTGAGCTTTTAAAAAAAAATCCCAACCAACAATTTCCACTGGTTAATGGATTGAGCAAACAGAAAAGGTCTTCGTGTTGCTCAGGAATATATATTGTGAAAGCTAGAAACATTTTTGGTGAGAAATAGATTTTCAAAAGCCAAGTTTATTTTCATCAATATAAAACTGTAAAAAAACAATACTGTAGAAATTGACAAGTGAATTTTGACTATTTGAGCTAACAAAGACAATTTATAAGTGATGGTAAGGTAGCCCTTTTACGGGCAATAAAAAATACTTAGGTAAGTGTTTAAAATGGACTCATACTTACAAAAAAAAAAAAAAAAAACAATGCTGCCACCTTGCGTAACTCAGCATACCACCCAAAGAAAAATGGCATGTTGAATGTACCCAATTTTATTCCCTGTGGTTGCAAAAATTAAAATCATCTGTATCCTGATTCATTTTTTGGGTACAATAGATGTATAGCCTACTTTAAAAAAATGTATCGGCATCCGGATAAGTTCATATTGTGCAACCACTTGATGGAATAAAATTGAGTAAATTCAATTTTGTGTGTATATATATATATATATATACACACACACACACACACACACACACACACACACACATACATACATACATATATAATTTTTTTTTGTAATTTTTTTAAAACTTATTTTTAGGAATATTATTTTCAGGTTGTATTTCAGGTTGTACTTCTATAGACAGCACACTACTTCAACTTCTTACAACTTGACTCTGGGTTGATCCGACCTCAATTCTTTTGAAATGCGGCTTGATTTTTGTCTATGTTTTCAAGTGGGACAGAACTTCCAAACATGTTCATTGAATGAATAAAATTCATATTGTAAGGCATCACCGTAATTATAATGACCAAGCCTGCTCTCAACAGGCCTCTTTTTACATTCCGTGGTGGTTTAATGAAGCAAGACAACGGAGAAAGTTAATTGTCTGTGCTGTAAGGAGCTCTAGATACTATTATCCTGCCTCCGCGGTGAGCAAAATTAAAAGATGACTACTTGTCATTGAGTTGTCCCACCGGAAGCTGGAAAGTACCTTCAACATGATCCACACTGATATTCACAGGTGGTGGTTAAATGGCGTATTGAGGGTTCATTTCCTCATTCTCCTCTGGAGTCCATCTTTCCATTAAAGCAAGTGTCTTGACAGCAGCAGTTGATTCCATGATTGTTAGCACTGAACGCTTGCAAAAAAAAAAAAAGAAAAAAATCATTTATAAAAGCAACAAGGCACTGTTAGAGCTTGGCGGAGCATCTTGACGGAATAGCCAATTTGCAACGTGCACTGAATGGCCCATTAAGATTCCTTTTGCCCAGTTAAGGCGCATCAGACACCCAAAGCGCAACGATGCTTTTTTTTTTTTTTGAAAAGAGCACAATACAGCACTCTTCATTTTCTGTGCGCTAGATCATTACTTTTCGGGAAGTCTCCATCCCAGCGTTGCCAGAACAGCCGGGAGGCTGTACATTAGACAACAGCCTTCATGCCAACGCCGCCCTCCCTCCCCCCTCCTCTTTTCTGTCACTAGCATATTGTTTAGCGTAATTAACAAGGCTTAAAACGCCCTCACAAAATACTGCTCTCGCCTGCATAAATTCACCTCTCATCCCCGCATGCAGTCATTGTGTCTTGCACCTCATTTACATGGATTAGTCCACTGTGTGGTCTCATAAACCAAAACCGCTTGAGTAACCTAAAGAAAGTCATTGTGTCGAAACAAGAACCTTGTCTGTAGCTATTTTTCTATCTCGGAGATCAGGGCCAATCTGTCAATCAGACTAAGAGCTTCCCCACAAAGGCACCAGCCACATTTAATCATTGACAAGAGTATAAAACAGCAGACCTCCGTGTGCGATCTTTGCTGTGCTATGGAATAAGAGGGGAGTGTAATGTACTAAAAAAAAAAAAACGGAAAATTCTGGTCATTGACTCCCTTTCTCGCCTCCAGTTAATAGTCCCATCATTAAGAGTCATGACATTTTGCTGAGCGAAGTACAGTGGAGCCTAAAATTCCTTAAAGCTTATCAAATAGCTGCAAGTGAAAGAAAAACTTTCACGAATAAGTCCAACTTCAACATCGTACGACATTTCTGAAGCGTCTCACGTCAGCATGTCCCATGATGTCACCTCACGTCAAATCGATAACCGCCCAGGTTCCACTTTTGCTGAGACACTTTGGTCAGAGAAGAATATCCACCGGAAATGAGCACTAGTGGCCATGTGGCCGACTGAGCAAAAGTGCTGCTTCATTTAAGCCAATCATGCTTAGCGCTGCTACTTGAGTTATTTTGGTCGATTGCTCAGTGTAACAGCTCATTCTCCTTCCCCACAATTCCATCTCCCCTCCTCTCTTTCATATACTTCCTGCCGGTAATGGGCCCACATGACTCGCTTGGTCTGCCTAACCCTCCCAATCTCTGCTCTCCGTTGCCATCTTCATGCTGATCCATCTATTTTTGGAAAGCGCGTTCATCTCGACCACCTGCAAGCCCTCCGCTTTGCTCGCATCTGGGACTCGAGCGCGCATTCACCGACACAATAGTGGCGAGTGACACGCCAACTGACACGCGGCTGACTGCGCTGTCCTTGCCCTCCTCCCTCACCTTGTTGAGGTTCAGCAGCTTGAAAACACACGCGCGCACACACACAATAACAACCTGATCTAAAAATGTAGCCAGCTTTCTGCTCATGATTAATAGATTCAAATGTTTCTCCAGATGCAACCTAATTAGGAAAATTAGCCTGCTCTGCAGTGTGGAAAGTAGGAGCTTATTTGGCAGGGGTTCTATTTGATACCTTGAAGTTTGAATGCCCCATCAGGACAATTTGGAATTTAATTTGAAATTTGACTGGCAGACCACCTCACTCGAGCTAATTTAAGCGAGCACCCAAGACTTGACTATTCCCATGTTTTGCCCTTTTTTTTTCTTATTTGGCAGGGGTTCTATTTGATACCTTGAAGTTTGAATGCCCCATCAGGACAATTTGGAATTTAATTTGAAATTTGACTGGCAGACCACCTCACTCGAGCTAATTTAAGCTAGCACCCAAGACTTGACTATTCCCGTGTTTTGCCTTTTTTTTTTTTCTGTACACTTTTTGTCAAGGTCAAGAAAAGAAGAATATGCACCAAAAATGTACATTCAATTATCTTTGTTAGAGAATGTTTCTGTGGCATAACGGTCAGAAATGATCAGCAGTACCACCTTGCTATTTTATTCCTGTGTATGGACGGCGGCTCTCATCCAGAGCTCACCAGATTTATACGAATAAGATTTGCTTTGGATGTTCTATGACTGGTGTTGAGCATTTCATTTCCGCTGTTTGTGATGTTTGACAAGAAAGAACACTGAGTCAAGAGGTGAACTTCTATGTTAGGCTTGTCTGACCAAGACACCAGAGTAAGCTAGTGGCTGGCAAGTCTGCCACACGATTTTGAAATTTGGGTTCAAATTTTGCAGGATAGCTGCCCTCGAGGACTGGATTTGGAGCACCCTAACCCCTTCCCTTCTCTTTTAATGGCTCTCTATTAGATCGGTTAACTTGTATTTATTTATAATTGTATGAATTGTCTGGATAACAAATCGAAAATGATCCACAAAGGTTGGGGTCACAGATGTATTTTTAATACCTATTCAAAGTGCAAGTTACCATGGCATTGTTGTGGCTTCCGCTGATAATTATGATGATAACAGCTTCTTAAGGGTTTTTCAATGAGCAAATGCCTCTTTGTAAGCACCCTGGAAAGTAAGTGCGACTGTGTTGGATGTCTCTCCAGGGCTGCGCAGTAGTTACTCCTGCAGCGTCTGCAGCGTGGTCCTCAACTCCATCGAACAGTACCATGCACACCTCCAGGGCTCCAAACATCAGAACAAGTGAGTACAACGGCTCATCGTAGCGTGTGAGGACAAACGACCTACGAGGCATTTGATCTGAATAAGAGGAGGTGTGGGTGTGTACGCTTGTGTTTTTGTCTGTGTGTGTGTGTGTGTGTGTGTGTGTGTGTGTGTGTGTGTGTGTGTGTGTGTGTGTGTGTGTGTGTGTGTGCGCGCGTGTTCAGCGTGATGGCTTCTTGGCTGGTGAAGTGAGGCGAAGTCAAATCTCATTTCTGGCCTACAGAGAGCCAAGCAATGTTTTGACAGCAGTGTGATAAACATGCAAAAATGGAAAACGGTTACGCAATTAATAGCTTGCAAACTTGCTGACATGACATCACTTTCAGTGTTTTGTTATTGTATGGTGAAGAATTCTTTCTCAGAAAATAATGAACGTTGGAGCACTGGTTAGTCTGCAAAGTGTTCATAAAGATTGTCATAGTTACCTCATTTTTCGACAGTATACAGTATTAGTCTTTCAACGTCAAGTAAAGAAAAATAAAATGGGTTTGTGGTTGGTTGTCTCTGAACACAAAATGTATCCATTAGCCAAAATACTGGGATAGAATCGTTAGATATCATCCATTTACCAGAGATAGCGACCAGAATCCTTGTAGGCAGTTTGGATTTCATCTCTGCATGTCAGATCCTCTGCACAGTATTTAATTCTGCATCTTGATTTTTTTTTCATGCCCCAATAAATGTTTGCAACGTTTCCGGATGTAACATGATTAAAATTAATGTTGTGGATTATTCATTTTTTCACATTTGCTGTGCGACAGGGTCCGTTGCCGCCGTATGCTGCTTTCACAATTGTTCATTTCTTTGCTGTTCGCGCACACTTTTTGCTGACTGGTTCATTAGTGGATGACCTGCTACACCGTCAAAACGCTTGCATAGAGCCCAGGATTACATTTGAATCTTCTAATTCTTCAAACCAATCATAGGATTTCATAACAGGCTGCATGACTGCGCTCGTATTCACCCTGCTGTGAGTATTTAAAAAAACTATTTCAATAGCTTCACTGAACAAGGCAAGGCAAGAGATATTGAAAAAAAAAAAGTGTGAAGATCCATCTGTGGCTCTGTTAAATACTGTACTGGCCAGGATCAAAACACTATTAATATTGTCGACGTGCCACAATAGAAAAAAGAAAAAAAACGAAGTGATGTAAGTTCTACAGTCTGAAAATCCACCTCTAATATAAGACTTAACATAACATACAAAGCGCTCAACATATTTATCACAAGTGACAAACGATGGCAGCTAAACCATCAGTGGCTAGCACCTAGCGTGAGAAGCTAACATCATGCTCTGCATCAGGACTCAAGTCAATTGCAAAAATGGCCAGCCATCCATTTTCGAGAATGCTTTGCTCATTCGTTTTCCGGATGGACTTTGCCGGGCGTTGCGCCAACACATCCTTTAGAAGTTCTGTTTTCAGGCCTTTGGGACTTTTGGGACACGCTGTACTTGGTCGAACACCGAAAATTGTCCAACTTTTGAAGCATTCGAACTTTGAGCTACCATTGTACTTGGACTGCAACTGCAATAAATAGCACGGGGGGCAAAAGCCTGTTTGTGGATAGCCAAGCTGGCAAGGTTGAAGGCTGATCCCCAACATTGCGAAGTCTGTTGTAATTGAAGGCGGCGGGCTCATAAATCTCCGTTTTGTAACATTTCCTGTGGTAAACAGGACAAGCATGGTGAGACACTGAAAAAGTTGTTTATGTGAGAGCTTCAATAAAACACATCGGAGGCAGAACATGCCGCGGACAAAGTCAGACAGATGGCCAGGGAGATGCGGCGTAGCACAAAGATGGTGTCGGAGGCAAACGAGCAGAGGGAGTGCAAAAGAGACAGAAGAACATGAAGAGGTGTGCGAATACATTTTTTTTTTGAAAGGTTCAAAGAGGAGACGCAACTATTACAGCTAGTCTAAGGCTTGCTGAGAGCTGTGGGGCTCAAATGTTTCAAAGAAATCAGGAAAAGACGGTCTTTAGCCGGATTGAGTGCAGTATGGTATATATAACTGGTTTAGAGGATATGGTGCTCTTCAGTCTGACTCAAAGGAAGTCGATTTATCTGGGAATTGTGGCATTTGAGTGGGATCCAAGTTGTGTGTGTGTGTGTGTGTGTGTGTGTGTGAGATAAAATCCTCTATCTGAACTGTATGGGTTTTTTTTTAACTTTGTAACACAATTAGTATCGCTGTTCTTCTGTATGTCAATTTAAAGGTATGCTGTCAGACAGCCAAAATCAGAGTTGTGAATTGTGATTATTATTATTGTCATATGGAAGTATTGTTATGTAATGTGTTTACTGCATTCGCTGTTATCTAAAATCAGGGATGCCGTGAATCTGTGCGCATGTGAAGCCCTTTGAGAAATTTCCCTAATTGAGGGCTATGTAATTGTTCAACTATAAGAATAAACGATAAATGAATGTGAAGCCATTGCTTTGATGACATTGCAAACTTTGTGGGAACACTGTTTCACATTGCGACACTTCTTTATAAAGGGGGTAATCAACCCCAAAATCTTCGTTCCAAAAATATGTTCCATGTGGCTCCACTAATCGAAACACGGCATTCTGATTCAGATTGCATTCGAGGAATATGAATTCATCAGCAGAACTCACTCATTTTTCTCCATCTCAAGGGGTGTGGCCATTTTGCCACCTGCTGTCGACCGAAAATGACATCACAGTTGCTCAGGGCTCAGGTAACGTCCAATCATGCAACTGTGATGTCATTTTTAGTCGACAGCAAGTAGCAAAATGGCCACACCCCCTGAGAAGGAGAAAAATGCGCAGGCGTACAACATTTTTGAGCTGACTTCTTTTTTAAAAGTTGAGGACCGCTAACTTGTAACTAATAGCTTCACAATTGAGATCCATTCGTCAGACGTAGCTTCAAAGTGTGTGTGTGTGTGTGTATATATATATGTATATACATATAGCACAGTGTTTGATCTAATCTGATTAAATTACATTTGAAAATGGCCTGCACCCCAGCTCACTGCAGTGCATTCTGGGTAAGCCCTTGGAAGAGATACTGCAGACTTACAGTGTGCATGAAGTGTGGAAAAAGTCCATAAGAGAGAGCCCCTGGAAGCAGAATCCATTTAAAAGTGGCCAGCCATTGCACACTGGACTGGCTTAGTTGGCACTGGAAAGAGGTCAAAACCAACATTTATCCTCTTGGGATCGTAACAAGACCAAGGGGGTTCCACCTCATCAACTTACTTTGCCCGCTTCCATGTCAGTCAGGTGTTACTCAATTTCTGTGCTTGACTCTGTGAGAAACCACTTTCATCTAAATCGCACGACTGTGCGCACACACACACACACACACACTCTAGTCATTAGCAAACGTGTGCAAGTTGTCATATTTGCGGCAAAGTAGAAACTGGGGCTTGACATGATAGCATGTTAAGCCCCTGTCAGGTTGCAGTGCGCATTTAGCCGAGTGTCACTTTTTCCGCTGACACGTGAATGGAAATACACTCATGCAAACGCTAGACAGGCTCGAATGGCATATGAGTGCAGAAATAAGGTGACATGAGACTCCACGGGCGATGATTTGTATGTCGCCTTAGTTTTGGCCCACATGACATGAACACAAACATCAAAACAACTCGATGTCCATTGGTAAACATTTATTTGGGGCCCAAACAGTCATGTTTTGAACTGTCTCCAGTTTTTAAGAATCTATTTCTTTCTACTCCAGGCTAAAAAAAATTATTATAAATTCTCGCGAAGAGTGGTTTTAATTTACTTTCCGTCCACATACGAACATAACGAAATGCATTTGCAGGCTTTCAAACACATGCCAAAGCCACAGGAAATCTTTTTTTCTTGAACAACTATATGCACAATTAACCATCTTTTAAATCGATTAATATAATTGTAAATTTAATGAAAGTCTCTCAGAATATTTTAAACCCTTGTGTTGGTTTATTGATCTGAGAAAAGCTCCGTGTTGCTCATTGTCCCACTTCTGATGTCTCCGCACGCCAAACTAGTTAAGATTCACCCAACAGTGCATCTGCAGCCAAAAATTGCACACAATTTAGCCTCAATTGCTTTAAGACACAATCACTCAACAAACCATTTCACACAAGTGATGGATTATTATGTCCATCCCTATTATAACCCCTAAACATATGGACATTTCCGTCAATTATATGTCTGAAAAAAGCTATTTCCCAAAAAGAACAGCTTTGGTGAATCAAAAACAAAGAACCGGATATTTTTCGAACCAATAGTGATGGAGAGTAGCTTTTCAATTCTCCAATTCTCTATGAGAGACAGTGCCCCCACTCCGAATGACATCACCTCAAAGAGAAGGTTCCCTTCTTGTAGGAACTGTTCACATGACGACATGAAATGAGTTCAGCCAAGTTCAATTGTGTTGCTCACCAAAACTGCAGCGCCGTGTTGATCATGCAAACTACTGAACCCCCCAAAAATTCATTTATTCATTCATTTTCAACATCGCTTATCCTAAAGTCATGCGAGTGTACCACTACACCATCGCTGACCCAAAACAAAAATGTGAATTTTAAATCCGATCACGACACACTCAATATGTATCTCGCAGTACATTTGAGTTCCAATTTAAAGCGCAAATGTGAGCACAAGGTCGAAATTCACGGGCAAAATGTTCATTTCTTGCTGATGAAAAGCCCAGCTAACGAAACCAGCACGAAAACTTATACCTTTCCTCACGGCTCTGAGCGTGTCGGACATTTGGGATGTGTCACCGGTAACGCCACAACAGATTTTGCTCTTCAACGAAACAGCTGGATGTGTTTATGTGCCAGCATTCTTTATCTGTCCCACGCATCTGTTTTGCTCACCGTCAGCTGCAGGTCATTTGCAACACTCGGTTCTCCCTCCGCGCTGTCGCAGCAGACTGCTCGCTGTAATTGGAGCTGTTTTGGAAGATAACAGCAGAGATTTAACTAGATCTATTTGGCAGGCCATTTTCTCACTACACAATGTGTTGCAATGATGCCAGGGTACTTACCTGAACGTATTATAGAGGCACAGCTGGCAGCTACATGGTCAACGTTTGCTAGGAAAAAAAAAAAAACAAAATGAATGTGATATGATATACTGCCATTACAATACCATATGATTCACTTTGATTACGACCACATTCAATTCACTCCAATTACAATGTAACATGATGTGATTGACTCCAATTATGATGTCGTTTGACGCCGTATATGAGTCACTTTAATTGCCAGAGGTGGGAATCGTCATTCCGTCAGTGAGCTGAGTCATCGGCGATAGCCAAACGGTGTCAAGAACGGTCAAAATTTTGAGTTGGGGTAACTCAAAATTTTTAAGTTACCCCAACTCAAAATTTTTGAGTTACCACAACTCAAAATATTTGAGTTACCCCAACTCAAAATTTTTGAGTTACCCCAACTCGAAATTTTTGAGTTACCCCAACTCCAAATTTTTGAGTTACCCCAACTCAAAATTTCTGAGTTACCTAAACTCAAAATTTCGAGTTACCTAAACTCAAAATTTTTTACTCAAAATTTTGTGTTGCGGTAACTCCAAGCTTTTGATTAACTCCATTAAAAAATATAAGTCGGATATAATCGAAACATCGAAGTTCAGAGAACTACAACTTTTGAATTCACAAACTCCAAAAAAGTGAGGCAATTTATAACCTCACTTTTTTTTTAGTTCTGCTAACTAATTCAGGTTGACAGTGCTTTAAAATAGGCCATTCATTGAAGGTGTGCATTATACTCCAAAGTGCCTTATAGTGCGGAAAATACGGTACTTTCTTTCTTGATCAATTCAAACTGTAGTTTAAAAAGTGCTTGCTACCCCTTCTGAAGAAGTTACAATCTTAGCAAATCTAACTTGTTTTTCTGCCATAGCTTTCGTAAAACATATCACAAATAATTTTTGCTCTCTTTGCTCCCTTGCGAGAGCCTGTGGCAAAAACACTGACTGCCGGTATGTCGGTGATCTGTGTTAGCACCTCGAAATGAAGCTTGACTCTTTGCTAGCTGAACCCAGAAATGGAAAGGTGCAGTATTTTGGAACTCATTAAAATTCTTCCTCCATAAGCATTTTATGCTGAAGTATGAAGGTCAATCAAAATTGTTTTTCATCATTTATTAGTTTATATAACATGACATTTTATTTCATTTTGAATATTAAATAAAGAAACGCGGTACAAAGTACAAAATAACAGCTGAAATCATACAAATTAATTTCATTTGCATCCCTCATGAGGAATAAATAGCTTTTGCATGCTGGGTGCTGACATGATTCCGACCTCTGGCCTGACATGATCTGTTTGCAAGCGTTGTCTCCAGTTGGATGCTTGTATATTTGCGCCAAAGTGCAATGTTGATGCTGACGTTAACAAAAGCCCCCCGAGGGCGTGCTGGTGAGGTCCAGGAGGACAATCCTTTTATCCTGCTCACCCTGCTAATTATTTGGCATCAGGGCGGGCACGTACATCCAAACTGCAAAAGCAGCGTATGCACATTTATTTGGAGGTGGTGGTCGAGCGCAGGGAGGGGGCAAGTGCTAAGGAAGAGAAGCCACTCGCGATTGATCAGCTAAAGGGAAGGCCTGTGCGCATGCATTCGCAATTGTGTGTCATGGTCTATTGTTCTTGGTTAGCCTGTATTTCATTTGCCATACACATACATTCTTGTATTGCTATCTTAGTGGGAGCACACATTCCTGATTATACCCTGATATAGGGTTACTGAATACCAAAGTCAAAAACAAATAATGCAAACAAACATTTTGTTCCGTTCAGTCCCCACCAAATGTATTAGAACGGCAAGGTCAATTGCAACGGTCTAGTAGCAGCACATTGAATTCTGAAGTCAACAAATTACCAGACAATTCATTCATTCATTTTTTGATCTGTTTTATCCTCACAAGGGTCGCAGGGGAGCCTGGAGCCTATCCCAGCTGTCTTCGGGAAGTAGGCGGGGGACACCCTGAACGGGTTGCCAACCAATTGCAGGAATTACCAGACAATTGCATCCAAAATAACTGGGAGAAGCTTATACATGCAACAATACAGTGGCCCAAAGCACACTGCCAGCACAACAAACGACTTCTTCGGGGAGGAAAAGGAGGAGGCCTTGGAATCAATTGACCTTAAACCAATAAAGCATACATTTTACCTCCTGAAGAGGTTGCGAAATGGAGAAACCATCAGAAACAAACGAGAACTGAAAGAGGCTGAGAAAAGGCCAGGAAAAAAAAAATTTAAATGAATAATGCAACATCTCGAGCTGGTCTGTATTGCTTTTAGCAAATATATCGTGCAAATTATTCATGCAAATTTTGGAATTATCGTCATATATAACAATAGCTTCTTCTACTTAAATCTGAGCATGTGTTGCTTTTTCTTACATATGAGGCTTTTTTTGGGGGGGTGGGGGGCTCGTCTGATCAAATGAAGTAAGTAGACTTGCATTTAAAGCAGGAAGACGTCGATTCGTAATCAAAGCTGATGAGCATGGGAAAGTGTGGGTGGTTTGGAGGAAATACTTTGTCGTTCTGATCGCTTGAAAAAAACTAAAGTTAGGTGGAGGACCCTCGTTTAATCGCAGGGAATCTTTTCTGTAGGTGGTCACCAGGTTGACACACAGCTCAGGAGGGATTACGGCCCACTCCTTGTTCAAGAAACTTGTCAAATGGATGAAGTTTCTTGGCCGCTGCTTAGAAACGTAAAGCTTCGTCTCCATCGTGGGTTTTCTGTCGGCTTCAGGTCTGGAGACTGACTCGATCACGCTGCGACTTCACTGTGCGTCTTCCTGAGCCACTCCTCTACCGCGGCAGCTTGTTTCGTGTCATTGTCATGCTTGAAGACCCAGCGTTCTTGGAATAGGCTTTATTCGGATCCAACATTTTAGTGGCCCCTCAATTTCCCCCACTATATTATCATCTCTGAGTTGAAGTCTTGCGTGTCAAAACAGCCATGGGACACAGAATTATTTCGTGAGGCGGTTGGCAACTATTACGCCCGCATTGTCGGCTTTTATCTTTGCTCACGGAGGCAACAGAGTGAGACGCTGGGAGAGCGTTTGCCTCTGTACGCGCGGAATAAAATGTCCCGCATCCATCCGCCCGTATCACGGACCTTGTGAAAATAGCACCACTCCATTGCGTCCTAATTGGATGTGCGGACACATGCTTTATAGAAGCTGGCGGCAGCTCTACTGCTCATAGTTGTTAGACCAGTGGCCCCTACACCTTGTCTTTTACTGTATGTCAGGATGCATTAAGCGCTTCGGGCTCAAGTCCGAGGGGCAAGGCTGCATTGTTCTGAACATGGGACGAAATAAGAGACTGGGGCAGACTTGACAAACAACAACAACAAAAAAAAGCACACTAAATCAGGCATCATGGCTGCCCAATTGCCCTTTTTATTCCACATCAGTGCAATGAAAGACAGAAAAAAAGCTTTTCCAACGTGGAACTCAGTTTGCTTGTGTTTTTGCCTCAGATCCAAGTTCGAAGCAGCATTTGAAGTTACAGTTTAGTTTAGCAGTTGAACTCCGAGTGAAGCCGCCACCAAGTGTGCCCCGACAATGAACCCACTCCCAAAGTCTCTTCGATCTCTTCCTCACGCTGAACTGATACCAAGTTGAAATTCATCTGCAGCAGCCCCATGTTTTGATTTTTCATTTATTTTTTTTCTCCCTGACTTTCATGGAATGGCGTATGATTAAACGTTCCCTTCCATGCCTGTCTGAAGCCTCAATTCTCATTTCATGTCTATTTATTCACTTTCCATCACCACCGTTTTATCTTAACTTCAAAAAGAGATGTATATTACACGAAGGTCACTTTTAAATACTAACTTAATAATATCCATCCATCCATCCATCATCCATTTTCTGATCCACTTAATCCTCACAAGGGTCGCGGGGCATGCTGGAGCCTATCCCAGCTGTCTTCGGGAAGTAGGCGGGGGACACCCTGAACCGGTTGCCAGCCCATCGCAGGGCACACACAGACAAACAACCATCCGCGCTCATACTCACACCTAGGGACAATTTGGAGTATTCACTCACCCTGCCACGCATGTTTTTGGAGTGTGTGTGGAAACCGGAGTACCCGGAGAAAACCCACGCAGGCACGGGGAGAACATGCAAACTCCACACAGGAAGGCCGGAGCTGCAATCGAACTGCGCTGTGAGGTTGACGCGCTAACCACTCGCCCACAGGGCCGCCAAGAAATAATGTACTATTCAAAAATAACATTTAAAGGATGTCATCATCTTTCATGTGTCAGTTGTATTTCGCAAGAGCGATATAAAGAAACCGAGGAACAACAAGACAAATGCATGCGTACAGGTGAATAAAGCATAAATGAAAACACGCTTCACTATAAATCACAAGCGGTGCCTGATATTGCAACAGTTGGAACTGATTTTTATGCGAGAGGAAGTTGTTGCAGGGCCTTTATCTCGGATATGAAAACTGATACATACGCCGATACTTTGTAATAAATAAAGTGGGTGCGAAAGCAAATTGCTTACTTTGAATACGATTTTTCCTTTGAATTATTAATTAGCTATAAAACCAGGACAATGTGAGTGAAACTTGAACCATTTTTCGCTCTTCATAAATACAAACAAGATGTGTAAAACTCGCTGTCAGCAACCCACCCGAATTTCGGGTTACGACCCACCAGTTGAGCAGCTCTGCTGTTTATTAAATTTAGATGCACTGCAAAGATCGGGATTAGTGGCAATAATGGATCCTTTAAGTCTCACTATTCTGGAGGGAGTCCAAATGTGATTAAAAATGCTTGATTAAGTAGCTTTTCTCCGGCATAATTCATTTCTTTGTTTTGCATTAAGTGTGAGGCGTTTTATCTCACGGCAGAATGCAGCCACGGCGACTTCCTTTATGACAAACAATCGGCAGCTTTAGATCGGGGGCCACCTTCATGGTAATCGCGGGACCTCCGATCTGCATTGCGTCTGTGCTCTTTGTTGAAAATTTCAGGTTCAGCCAAGTGAAACATTTTGAAAGGGGATTGCTGCTTAAATGGCTCACACGGAGTCAGACATTTGATTTCTTGCTATTAGTTTCACCACTTTCCCTTCCAGGCCTTTGTTTTCTTCTGCAGTCATGAATTAGATTAAGAATGGCAGGCGACACGGATTGAAAGGTAAATTAGATTCTTTTGCCGTGGTTCTGAGCGTGCGACAAACGCAATTGCTTTCTCCCTTGTGGACTTCATCCATGTTGTCCCCCCAGCAATTTCTTGTCAAGCGAGCCCCACCTCAGACACCAAACAAGACTAATAAATTCTTTTTTGCGTTTCGTTTTGTTCGCAGCCTGAAGCAGCAACAGCAGTGAGCCGCTCAAGAAAGACGTGTGGAGTTAGCGGACTTCAGAAATCCTGCCATATGTCACAAACCGAACAGCGTGTGTGTTTATTTGTGTGTGTGTGACTGTCCGAGACATCCGTCCGCACATCGGCAACATGCGCGCGTGACTTTTTTCATTTCCGTGACCTAACATGAGATTTATTCTGCACCCAAGTGTTTGACATGAGTTGTTTGCCGACGGCCACCGCAAGCTATGTGGCTGTGGACTGCCATATAAAATAAATAGTAAGAATAATACGAATAATGATAATAAAAAATAAAAAATAAAAAAACAACTCGTGTGAAACAGGCCTGGATTCTAACGATGTCAATGCCCAGAATGTTCCTTCCAGTAAAGCATAAAATATTTATATGCTGGCCAAATGTTCAGTGAAAGTGATATACTTTTTGACGAACGGGTGTCTTTTTTGCTAAGATTTTGTTTTGTTTGCTATATTAAATATATATTTTTTAAAAATTGACTTCATTAGCATTTTATTCACATTTGTCATCAAGTTCCTTATCTGGAAATGATTCGTACCCTTTCTACGTACAAGCATACCCAATGACCAAAACGTATCAATGATTGGAATGCTTTGATAATATAGCAAATAGTGGCCAGGGACGTTTATTTCCTCAACTGCAGACATGTGGAGGCGTTCATTTTCCGGTGTGTCATTAGGGGGAAGCATTTTTTTGGAAAATATTAAATATTTACCGATACATTACAATTCCATCCAAGTGACACGTTAAAAGGACTATTAAAGTGTAAATGTAATGAAAAGAGCTGCTTATGTTTTGATACTTGGTGAAGCAGCATTTGGCTTTTGACTCAAGGCAATTGTTGTTTGCTTGGTTTCAAATAACTAAACTGGGGATGTCCCCCATCACATTTTGGCACCTGAGTCCTGATGCTGTGCAAGCACGCTATAAAAAGTTGCAATTTAAATAAATGACATTTTTGTGCAATCTCTGCACCTTTCTGCCCCTTTTCTTTTTCCACTCCACCACACAAAAACAAAATGTTTCACTGCGTAATGTAAAATTAAGATATTGCCGTTCCATGTGGCAATATCTTTGTACCTCAGGATTATTTTTGTTTTCTTTCTGACCTTTAAATATTAAGAAGAATCGAATGATCTCTTTCACCCGTATCGTCGCTGCAGAACAGGATGAGGATAAGCGGCACAAAAAAAAAAAAAAAGAATGGCCAATTGGGAATATGAAGAAATATCAGGACGTTGAAAAATAAAAAAAGGATTTTTTTTTGTCATTAGCACTTTTTGCTACTTTCCAACCAACAGAAACCCAATCAACAGTGTCATTTGAACTTTTCATTTGGCCAGTGTATGAATAATCTGGTTTTAACCGTATCTTTGGCCATCAAACAGCATTTGGATGCTGATGCAGTTCTCACTTTCGGGCTCCTTCTCACATCACGCGACAACCACTCAGGCCCACACAATTAAAAAAAAAAAAAAAAAATCATGGACAAGAAAAGCCCCAATGACCTCAGTTTACATGATAACATGGCATTGTGTGACAACAAGTACAGCGGATGGAAGGGACGCCAACCAAATAATTGATCGAAGCTCCATTGTTGAGGTGATTCTGCCTTGGATTAATGGCAGCAGATCGACAAAAAAGCAGCACAAAAATGACTTTTCAACTGGAAGCTCGTGTTGAAGTTCGTGAAAACATTCCTACAGAGCTGAATATTGATGTCAGAAAGCAGTCCGGAGGCAAAAAAAAAAAAAAAACTGCCCTGGTCTGCCGAATAGGGCAACGTGTATTCTAACTTTTTTTTTCTGTTACCAGAGCCAGAGGAAAAACATCACTTGCAAACTATGTAGCAATCATTGTGTAATGATACTGTATCTCAATGCATGGAAAAGGTTGCATTCACTTGCTTTTTTTTTCTTTTTTTTTTTCTTCTTCTTTTGCGTAGATTGCTTGCACATTTTGGCAATAGTGCTGCTCTCTGGTGGTTAGCTTAATGACGCATTATGGCTCACACCTCAGTGACAAAAATGGCAAATTTTAGTACAGATTAACCTCTGTTTCTTTAACAGGGGCACCTTTTGATACCTGAACTGTCGACATTGTGTAAAAGTCATCTTATCAGAGTGTCCGTCAAGTGAATTTTGAATTGTTTGTAGCACTTTAAGGAGGGGGGGGGGGGGTTCCACTTTTCCTGTGCTGTTGCTACACGGTCTGATATTCGCCAAGAGTTCGAGTGGAGGACCGAAATGGCACACGACTACACTAAGCTACTATTCTTTTCTTTTCGGATGAGTTCTGTTTCACTCATTCCCAAAATAAAAAAATAAATGTTTTTGCTTTGTGCATTCTGTGAGAGAAGCATGAACTACAAATGACCTTCTGTAAATTAGACTGTTCTGAAGCAACAAAAAAAAGTGTGTAAATAGGCAGTATAGCTTCAAGTCTGTGGATTTACGAGGATTTTTGTTTTTATATTGTTTATCTGCACTAAGCCACCGGGTGATGAGGGAAAATGTGTTCTTATGATTGACAAATAAAGAAATATGCTGACATTGATATGGAGAATAAGCTGTCTTTTGAGTGTATGATGGAAAATCGCTGCGCTGAACAACACGCAGGGACTTTGGCTCCAATGCCGGAGCTAAACTGATGGATTAAAATGTAACGTAAAAAATTTACAGTAAAATTAAAGTCTATTCACATTCTGGAAGATGCTGAACCAGGCATCATGACTGGGTAGTCGATACATGTTTTGTTACCATTTACTTTTCTCACTTTTCTCATCATAATAAATTAGACTAACCTTCAAAATAAAAGCACTGCATATTTGACAAGTTGTGGCCCGCAGATCATACTTTGGCCTGCAGGTAGAATCTACGATGGCGAGTTGGAGAAAATGTGGCGCCGCATGCAAATAGAGCATAAATCTCAGCTGTGATTTGTTTTGAATATAAAAAGGCGGCAAGCGTGCTGGAAGATTAGAAAAAGTACATTCCGCTCGTTTCCAAATGAGGGAACCGCTTCAAAGCTTGGCGCTTGCAGCAACGTTTCCATGGTAACACCTCCGACTCAAAAGACCGAGGAAGAGCGGCCGTGGCGCGTCGCCGACACTTTCGATAAATATTGACTTCAACAAAACAACCTGCCAGGAGGACGGAGCTACGGGGTCAGGGAATGACGTGTTTGCTAATGCTCTCATATTTTGTTTGAGGATTTTCAGAGTGATGAAAGGAGCGAGGGGAAGTCAAGCAACAAGGCGCATTCTTAATAGCCAACAGGAGATGCTCTGAATACAACATTCAAAGCGGTATCATGTCGTTTGCGCTATGCCGTCCAACCTGTGTGTGATATAAGAAGGGGCTTAGAAATACAAGCTTGTCTATCCAGTAAGCCCATCGTGGAGCATGGTGTTAATTTTGAAATAACTGCGTGACAGAGTGAAATGTCATTTTCTTTTTTTGGACATATTAAGGCAAATTTAAGGTGACTTATTCACTAAATATGACAGCCAAGCATTTTTTTTAAAAATATCGCGTCTCAGTGTTTCAAAAAAAAAATACTTGGTGCAGACTAATTACAGTTTCAAAGTTTGTCCAAAGCGAATACAGCAATAAGATAAGATAAGAAAACCTTTATTAGTCTCGCAATGGAGAAATTCCCAATACACAGCAGCAAAGTTATGAAAGGAAGAAGTAGAACAACAAAATATAGGAGCTGCTGCAATCTGAACCGTTTTTCGAAGCAGTTGTAGACAGAAGAAGTGAATCAAAGTGTACTTTTCAACGACGTCATGCTGAAATGTGAACACGTCTGCTACGAGCTAGCTTGAAAGCGACAAGAAGCTGTCGAGTCCATTAAAAAGATTGGCTTTCATCTGCTGCCCCATGTAAATCTGCTTCAAATCCAAGATGCGACTCGCAGTGCCGCTGATGCTCCTTTCTTCTCATCGTCTGCTCCTCAAGCCATGCATCCATCCAGCCGCAGACCGTTCAACAACACCGATCTCCCCCCTGAACAAAGCGGGGCTGTGAAAAATGCTGCCCATTACAGGCACAAGACACAAGCGCCCCGGGACTGTCCAGCAACTGGCGCCGACATTCCTACCAGTCAAAAACAGTGCTGGTATACCCATGCAGCCGAGAAGGCGCAACCACCAAGCACAGAGTCTCCTCCTTGATGAATGTCGTGGCCAAAAAATGCTGAAAAAAGTCCACATCAGGTCCACACGACGTAACAACAAACACAAAGTGACAAAACAAACACAAAAACAACAAAAAAAGCAAGGCTCATGAGAGCACTTGCTGACGGCTGCCTACTCGGGCGCCATCTTGACTTCCAATATTTTTCATTGTGCCTGTGGAGTTTTTAAGATTGGTGAATTCACTGGTGAGCAAGTGTCATTTCTAAGGTTAATTAAAGCCTTGACTCGGGGAAGTCATGCGTACAACTTTTGGAGGATCAGCCAACACCAAAATTTAAGGACGCGTGAAGTGAGAAAAATTACAGTCAGTGTCTGTTTTGAATGGATTGGCCATTTATTTTAAGTGGATGGCGCACCTAATCAAGAGACTGTGTTCATTGGCCTCAGGGCCACTCGTTGAGAAAGTCCTCTTGGTAGATTTGTTACAGTCTTCTGACCGCGACCGTGTAAAACTGCATAATTAAAAGAATATGTTCGCTTCTAAATGTCAGTAGATTTTCACTTGACATTTCCCAGGGATGAAGTGGCTTGGGGGTGACACGGGGCAAACTGTCTTCCTGAGAAAAGAAAATGATAGTTGTTTCCTCTTGCACGGCGAGTCTCCCGTGCTGGCATTTCAGAACTGGAAAAAAACAAAAAAAAAAGTAGTGGAAGTGATGACTGATTCCAAAATTGCAAACAATTGGAACCCCAAATATACTTTTTACCTGTCTGTATTGAGTGCTCATCCTGTCAAAGGACCATGAACGACAAATACAAAAGAGCTTTCTGACAGCGGGGCAACACATTTTCCTCAAGGGGGTCTTTTGTTATTAAAATCTGCACAAATTCAACATTCTCAGCAGCACAAAACATAACGGCGCTTCCGCCATTTACAAATTCGCCAGTTTTGCCTCAGCGTGTATGTGTCACACTTGAGAATTTCCCCATTCTCAGCCCCTTTCGCAGAGTTGCGTGAAATAACCTCCCACGAGCTAGACGGGCATCATCAAATATTTGAATTCCCAGATTTCAAACACATGCATGGCTCTTTTAATTCAGTCCCAGCCAATTCCAAACCAAGTCTGAAAAGACGTTTAAAAACGTCTTTGGGAGTGAATGGGTTAATGTGGGTGTGTGAAGGCCTTTTTCTTTGTTAGTCTGTTTGTTTGTTTGTTTGTTTGTTTGTTTGTTTGTTTGGGCCCAACCGATCGGCAGGTGACCGGTGTGCACCATTTAGCACACGATGCTTCAAAAACACATCCCTTTGCGAAACCGTTCTCCAGCTATCTGAAAAGGCAGAAACAAATTGCAATCACGACTGGCTGTTGCTGCCGACGATATGACGACGCGAGCCCGAGTGGGCCAGCGGCAAGCAGGTTTCCACTACACTGCCCCTCTCCACACAACAGGCTCTTCATTGTCAGTGCCTGTCGGAGCGTCCCTGTCAAAAAGCATTGTCCGCACACTCCAACCCTCCTCGGTTCAAGCTCACAGCCCCGGCCGGCATTTGAAAAGATGGATGGTGCTTGGCGGCCTGAAACCGGCAACAAAAAAAAAACAGAGGTCTCATGCTAATACTTGCAGACAGAGAAAAGATGTCCGACGGCAGCAATTGTGATGACGCTGTTGGTGCAAGGAGGCCGATAACCGTCTTCCAACAAAACACTTTTGGATTAAATCATTATTTTTTTAGCATTGCCATTGCAACCAAAGTGTTTGTTTTTTTCTTTTTTTTTTTTGAAACAGGGGGTTGTAATCGCCCTCTATTTGTCTAACAAGGTTAAGGTGGTTTTCATTTATTCTACATGCAAAACAATGAGCCAGAAAGAACACAAACATTTTGAGAACTTCTGTTTTCTCGCAACGAAGCAGAACTATAGCGTTGGTCCTAAAAGTAAAAAATAAATTGCAGTAAATTGTAACATTTGGTTCGGTTATAAACAGCAGCGCAGTCCAGTTCATTTTGTTCATTTTAGATTTGATTTACGAGAGCAAAGATCCACCGCATACAAGGTCAAATAAAACGTCTCCAATATGCTCGAGGTTAACGACTGCGCTTAAGTAGAAGCCACTGTCGGCTTCTGTGACTAAGGTCGGAGTCATGATGTAACCGTATGATGATGAAATGAAATCATGAATAAATAACTCTGACAGAATATCCGCTGTTTTTAACCTTAATTTTGGATAACGCCAACAAGACTGTCTCTCCACTCACGCAGATGCTGTTTTTGCTTCTGCAATCATCCAAATGTGTCTCTTGCTGTATTTCAAATGAGGACGCTTTGCCAAGTGCAAAAGCTTTCCTCGGGTAAAAAGTGTTTTGCTGTTGCTGCTGCACCGCTCGGGATAGCAGCTTTAATTAAAACGCTGAAGTGACACCTTCACTGAGGTAAGTAGGCTGTATGTGCGTGCTCATGTGCGTGTGTGTGTGTGTGCCTGTACGTGTTGAAGGTGCAGGTGGGTTATTTTGAATATTGATGTCTCTGTAAGTGTCTGAGTTTTGATACGCTGCAAATTTTGAGTGTGTGTTTAAGCGTGTGTGTGTGTGTGTGTGTGTGTGTGTGTGTGTGTGTGTGTTCAACCATCAAATAATCATGACCGAGTGGACGCACCATCAAAGCCCTTTTCACCATCTGCACACAAATCACTCTTTGCTCGCAATAAAAAGTGAAACGACTAAAAAAATGCACATTACCTTTTATGACCAAAATAATTGCTGAACTGTGGTACGTTTGACTTCAAAGCGTCATAGCAGTCGGCTCAACGTACTGTCATAAACACTCCGAAAGCTCAAGAGTTGTCTCTTTAGTTCAGTTCTTGCAAGAAAGAAGAGCGACTGCGCGGAAAAGTGCTTTTGCAATTGCTCATGGTAACTTGAAACAAAAACAACTCATCAAAAATAACCTTGGATGATGTGCCGCATGCTGCTTCACCGTTACTGTAAGTTGCATTGTATGTCCGTTACGCATCAAAATTGCAATACATGATACATTTTTGTTGTTGACTATTCTTTGGGGGCGTGGCTACAACGGAGCAGAGTCGACACGCTTATAGAGCTCCGGGCATGAGTCGCCACTCTCCCACTCGACAGGGGAACAGCTTGGAAAAACAAATCAAGTGAGTTAATTGCAGTCCATTTTTTTCAAGCACACAGGTGTCAAATTCTTCCAACACACCGATTCAAATGATCAGGATCATCAGGCTCCTGCAGAGAGGATGACGACTGTGCAC